AGCCAGCTTGGCACCAGTCTGGTGGCACAAAGCAGCCTCCAGGCCTGTTTCACCAATTACCTGGAGATTTTCCTGGCACAGGGGAAATCGCTGTGTGGGCAAGAGCCAGTATAGCCAGCTCTATGCTACCCCCTCCTGCCACCCCAGCACAGGGGTATGGCTGGGGTAGAAGCAGGGCCGGAGCAACCCATTAGGCGACTTAGGCGGTCGCCTAGGGCGCTACAATTTGGGGGGCAGTGACCGCAGCGGTATTTCGGCGGCGGGACCTTCCGCCGCCTCTGTGTGGGGCGGCATTTTGGGGCAGGACCTTCCGCCGCCTAGGGCGGCAGAAAAGCTGGCGGCACTCTTGGGTAGAAGGACCAAGGCCTGAGCTGCTGTGCACCAGCAATGCAGTCACTGCATGAGCTCACCTTGGACCAACTGTGAGGCTGTCTTGAGTTGGGGACTGGACTGGCAGAAAAATCCTGCTCTAGCTGCTTGCTCCCAGCTACGCCGGGTACTGCAGGGCTGGTGCCAAGGACCTGGCCCAGCAGCTCTTCCAGATTGCAGCATCAGGGCTGCTGAGGCCAGTCAAGCTGGAGCTGAAGAGGGGACTGCGAGGATATGTGATGCATGTCAACTGGAGGGGCTATGCTGATTCAGCATCCCCCGAGTCAGGGTTCGGGGGGAGCCCCAGCCAAGTCCAGCCCTGCCTGTGACTCTGAAGCCGGTGCTGAGAGAAGCAGCAAATGCCCACTGGAATAACCCCCCCACCCTCGCTCCCCCTCTGCGTCTCTGCACAATTTCACTAATTAAAATGCTGGAGCCCAGCTGCTGCAGTAATGAAAGAGTTCAGGGGAAGCTCGGCTCGGCAGGGCCCTGCAAGGTATTTGGCCCTGCTCCCAGCCAGCCCCATAATCATCGCTGACTCAGCAGGCAGCTTGGGCAAAGGTTCATCCAGCCAGTGACAGGGAACAGGGGGGGTTGCTTGCTTCCAATTTCCGCTCCAGCCCTGGTGACAGCATGCAGAAACCTCAGAGGTCTGCCCAACAGACTAGGTAGCAAGACACTGTCCATTCCGGGGGCTGCTCATAACACTGGATTGGGAGAGGCGACTCTACCCCACTCCAGTTCCACCCTTGTGCTTTGCAATAGTAACTTCTCAGCCTCTCCTCCTGCTAGGGGGCTAGTTAGTCACAACAGGCATCTGAACCTCTCCACATAATCACTCAGTGTTTGTGCTTCTCTCCTTTCCTCTTACCTCACATTCCTTCAGTGGCTCACTGAGTGGGGTCTTCTCCTCCCTCAGCCTGGGTGTCCCACAAGGATCTGTCCTCCTCTTCTCTCTTTACCCCTTGCCTCTGGGGGATCTCAACCACTCACATGGCTTCAGCCACTGTCTTTATGCCAGTGACTCATAACTCTACCTCCCCTCTCCTGATCTGCCTCTCTCCATCCAATCCGCCTCTCGCCCTCTTGCTGAGACTGAACTGATCTCCCCATCTTCCCTCCCTAGCCTTCCCCGCTTCCTCTATCCTTACTGATCACACCCCCAACCCCTCTGACACTCAGGCCTTGGGGTCCTCTTTGACTCCTCCCTCACTCCTTTGCCCCACCCATCATTGTGGGGTGTCCCAAACATGCTGCTTCTTCCTCTGGATAACATTACCGATGTTGGCACAGGGCTACTTGGGGATGGTAGTTACTGATTTCATTTATTCATCTGAAATCTAACAATTTTGACTATATCCGCTATCCCCTTCCCTAACGCAACCTCGGATACAGCTTTATACAATTTTTTGGAAGGCTGGAAGGGACTGTTTGGATATGTTCTCTGACCTACACGGCACAGAGTATAGCAATTGACCTAGTGATTCCTACACTGAGCCCAATAACTTGCAGTTTAACTAAAGCAGGGGGTAACATCTTCCTGGCTGCGCTGCCCCAGTCATGTTTCCATGTAGACACTCACTGCAGCGACGGGGGGGGTTCTCCTGTCCCTGGAGTCAGGGCCGGCTCCAGGCACCAGGCACCCAAGCTGGTGCTTGGGGCGGCACCTGGAGGGGGGCGGCGCGGTGCTCCGGCCGCCGGGGAGAGCGGGACCACAGCCGGGGCTCGCCGCCCTGCCCCCGGCGCTCTGGCCGCCGGGGGGAGAGCCAAGCCCCCGCCGGGGCTCACCGCCCCTCCCCCCCCCCCGGCGCTGGCCTGCGCCCCCCCCCCCCGGGGGGGGGGGGGGAGGGGCGGCGGAGGCTTTTTTGCCTGGGGCGGCAAAAAAGCCAGAGCCGGCCCTGCCTGGAGTTCAGGGATTCTCAAACTTCATTGCACCGCGACCCCCTTATGACAACAAAAATGACTCCACGACCCCAGGAAGGGGGACTCAAGCCTGAGCCCACCGGAGCCCCACCACCCCGGGTAGGGGGTCCAAAGCCCAAGCCCAATGGCTGCAGCCCTGGGCGGGGGGGCCTGTAACCTGAGCCCTGCTGCCCGGGGCTGAAGCCAAAGACCGAGCCCCACTCCCCAGGGCTGAAGCCTTTGCTTCAGCTTTGGCCCCAGGCAGCAGGGCTCGGGCTTTAGCCCCGGGCCCCAGCATGTCTAAACACCAGCCCTGGCGACCCCATTAAAATGGGGCCATGACCCACTTTGGGGTCCCGACCCACAGTTTGAGAACCGCTGCTTAATTCACACACCCCACGAGAGGCAGTAGCTAGGTCAACTTCCATTGACCCAGCACTGTCTGCACCAGTGGTTACATCAGCTTAACTACGTCGCTCGGCGTTGTGGCTTTTTACACCCCTGAGAGATGTAGCTGTGCTGATGTCAGTTCCCAGTGTCGGCCAGCTCTGCGTGACCTAGTGGCCAAGTCCCATTTACACATGTGATTTAAGAGCCTAAGGGCTTGGCTACACTCAAAACTCCAAAGCGCTGCTGTGGGAGCGCTCCCGCAGCAGCGCCTTGAAGTGCGAGTGTGGTCGCGGCGCCAGCGCTGGGAGAGAGCTCTCCCAGTGCTGCAGGTTCTCCACCTCCCCGAGGGGATTAGTTTACAGCGCTGGGACACGGTTTACACTGGCGCTTTACAGTGCTGTAACTTGCTGCGCTCAGGGGGGTGTTTTTTCACACCCCTGAGCGAGAAAGTTGCAGCGCTGTAAAGCGCCAGTGTAGCTATAGCCTAAGGCCTGGTCTACATCAGAAAATTAGATCGAACTAACAAAATCAGTCAGGGGTGTGAAAAATCCACAGCAGCGTAGTTAAGAGAACCTAACCTCCGGTGCAGGCAGCATTAGGTCAATGGAAGAATTCTTCCATCGACCTGGCAACCACGGAGGTGGATTACCTATGCCGGTGGCAGTACCCCTCCCGTCAGTGTAGATTGTGTCTATACTGAGCCGCTACTGCGGCGTAGACAAGCCCAGAGTGTCGCTGACTTTCATTAAAACTCAAAGTACTAAAGCCCAGGTCCTCAAGGGTATTTAAGCTCCGAACTCTCATTGATTTCAGTGGGAGTTAGACACCTAAATACCTTTTAAAATCTGGCACTAAGTCACTTTTGAAATGGGACGTAGGCTCCTAAACCACTCAGATGCCTTTGAAAATATACTCTCTATATGTGTGTGTGTGGACAGCACCTAGCGTATTGCAGGGGCGGCGTGACTACAAATCTGCTGGATCAAAAGGTACGTCTAGGGTGGCGTGTAGAGTACGGACACTGCACACCCATGGGTGTCTATAGCGTGTAGATGGTGTGGCACAGCTTAGGGGGGTCGAGTGCCCTACACGCCTGAATCTCCCAGGGTACATACCCTACATGGCTCTCTGCCCACTCAAGCAGTGACTCCCGTCTACACTGCTGTTTGTAGCAGTGCAATGTCCTGCTGCCTCCCACCCCTTCCAGAGCCTTTCACTGTGACGTGTAGTCACACACTGCAGTGACAAGTGGGATGCAGCCTGCCTTTCACTGCGGCATGTTGGTACTCAACACGCCACCATAAGTGTGGACATAGCCAAAGAGAGACCCAAGGATTCAGTGCAATGGGCACAGAGTTGCCATGTGCGTCTGCAATCTCTCTTTCAGCGAGTGGCGGGGCGTATTCAGCTCTCTCCCAAAACTCCACGCTGCTCTATTTCTCCAGTCTCCAAAGGCTGAAGAATTCCCTTGGCGATGCAGAAAAAATGCTGGAGTGTCTGCCTTAAAAAATGCCTTTGCAATGACTGGAGGCTGCCAAGCACCGCTCTCCTCAGACCGTTTTCGACTGGAGATGACGCCGGTCCGAGGGAAGCTGGCCACATCTGGTGCTCAGCTGAGCTGCCTTGGAGAGACACATGGTTTGGGTTTGGACACTTCAGACCTCCTATTTCTGGTACAGGATTAGTGATCTCAACAGGGCTATAGATCACACACGGCACCTCAGTGCACAAAGCCCTGACTGGGGAAGAGAGCGACTCATGCCCGGGAGGGTTTCACTGGAGAAGCTCTGGGTAATAACAATAATTCTGTGAGTGTTTTATCTGAGAGTCTCAAAGCACTTTACAAATATTAACTCATTAAGCCCCGGAACGCCCTCAGGCCTGATCCTGCATTCCTCACACATTCACACTCTCCACAGTCAGTGGGCTGGACCCTCAGCATAGCTCTACTGGAGTCCTTGGAGCAACGCTGATTTACACCACCTGGGGCTCTGCCTGGGCGTTGTGACTATGCAGGATCAGACCCCCTGTGGTGCAGTTATTATCCCCATTGTACAGCTATGGGAACCGAGGCACAGAGAGCAGAAGGGACTTGCCCTTGGTGCGAGAGTGGAAGAACCAGAAATAGAACCCAAGCATCCTGGCTCCTGTTTCCCCGGATTTAACCATTAGATTACACTCTGTCACAGTCACTCTATCCTGAGAGCTGTGACCTGTTTGTTTATCCTCATTATAGGAAAGACAAAGCCTTCTAGATGCCCCCCAATTTCAAAATCCTTGGGGTGCTACATATGCCTCCCCTTTCCCGCCCTGAGCTTCCAGATAGGCACATGACTTACCGTAAGCATGTGGCCGGCGTCCCGCCTGCTCCTGTGCAGGAATATTCCACGGTCAGGATTTTATTCTTGGGACAAGATTCGCTGCAGGAAAGATGAAGGAAGAGTTTAAGTCTAGTTTTTCCTTCCAGATTGGATCGCAGGCTGCCTTGGTTCCTAAAGCCACCTCAGCCTGTCCCACCTGAGCGTCATAAGCACCTGTCAGTAGACATGGTTTGGTGGCTTTTGCTCATTGGTCTCGGGTCTGGAGTGACATGAGGGCCTTAAGGTTGTATTTGTCAGAATTAACTGTCCCTCCAAACAGACCACATCACAGGCAAGTGCCCTTGGATACTTGTGACCTGAGAGGCTAGTCAAATTTTGGTGCCCTAACTGCATCGACCTAAGTGCTATGCCTCTTGCGGAGGTGGAGTGATTAGGTGGGTGTAGTGGGCGACTTACATCAGCGGGAGCAACGTTGTAGTGTAGACACTTACAGAGTTAGGTCATCATAGGGCAGCTTACATCAACTTAACTCTGTAGTGCAGACCAGGCCCTAGGCTTTCTTGTTTTTTTCCTCTCTGTTCTTGGGTGTGTCCTCAGTATCAGTGTGATCTCTCGCACACCCATACAAACCTACCCCAAGCAATACTCAGCCCAGAAGCGCCTGGGCGGGTTCACACACACCTTTGTCTTAGGTGGCATTTATGTTTACAGTTGTGTTAACAGAAGGATGAGTTCACACCTACCAACCTCAATGAGTTTTTAATCCAACGCATGATAAGGTTTCACCCAGTTCATAACAATACGCTGCTCTTGGCAAGGGCTCCTAGCCAGTGGCATGCCTGCCTTTACCTTGCTATTAGCCCATAGTTAAGGTTAAGGTTTTGTCAAGGTTATTTTTAGTAAAAGTCAGGGACAGGTCACGGGCAATAAACAAAAATTAATGGAAGCCTGTGACCTGTCCCTGACTTTTACTAAAAATAACTGTGAGAAATGGAGCTGACGGGGGAGGACTGAAGCCTGAGTGGAGGAGCAGGGGGAATGGGAGCCCAAGCCCCACTGCAGAAGGGTGGGGGTGGTCCAGCACCTGCCACCCGGGCAGCTCGGAGTTGCTGGGGCCCCCCACAGAAGCTGGGAGTTCCAGGGTCCCCCCACCACCCATGGCGGTTCGGAGCTTTGGGGTCCCCACTCAGCCCATGGCAGTTCGGCGCTGTGGGGGCTGCGGTGCCTGGGGGGCTGGGAGCTCCAGGATGCCGCTGCCACCCACGGCAGCTTAGAACTGTAGGGTCCCTGCTGGCTGACAGCTCTGGCCCTCCACCCCAGGGCTGGTGGAAAATGTCACCGAGGTCTCTGAAAGTCACAGAATCTGTGACCTTCATGACATAATCTTACCCTTACCCATAGTGACCTGACATGATCTGCTAGCAACATGCTGCTCGGACTGGGAAGTTACATTCTAGCGCTCTAGCCAGAGTCTTCTAGCCCTAGCTAACGGCATCCCTTCAGTGCTTAGTGATCTTCTAGCCCTAGGTGGTATCGTACCTGCTTTGTCTGGTGATCTAGTCACATGCCTGCCTTTGATAGTGAGTGAGCTCTAGCTAACGTCATGCTGGTTATAGCTAGTGATCACCAGCCCATGAAGATGTTGCTACACTGGCTAGTGAACAATCAAATTATTGAATTATTGCTATTATTAGAACTGCCAAGCCTGGGGAGAAGGTGGTAGCTGTTCTTTGTTATGGTATCTTGTTAGTTTTTTGGTTAATAAAACCTAACCCCCAGGGTAGGGGGGAGTTTTGATTCCCCAGTGTATGGATTGTGTCTACGAGCAGGGCGGGAAAGTCTTTGACTAAGAGTGCTCATGAGTTTCAAGGTGTGTGTGTGTGTGTGTGTGTGTGTGTGAGAGAGAGAGAGAGAGAGATGCACTGGCGGTGTTGCCAGCCCCAAATGTTAAACAAGCAGGAGTCCGTCCCCAAAAATTCATGAGAGGCTTAAATATCATAAGAGTTTTTTTAAAGTAATAAATATGGGGCTCTTTATATCTGCCTTCTGGTTTATCAGCCTGGGGGCGGGGGGGGGGGCCCTCAAGTCACGTTTTCAAACTTTCCTGGGCTACAATCTTACTTTTTTAAAAACAAAAGCTGAGATTTTCATCTGATCACATGACTTGGGGAACTAGGGCTTTAAACAAAACCTCCAATATTGCGAGAGTTGGCAATGCTGCACTGGGCCAAAGTCATCCTGGTGTCACTCCATTGCTGTGATGCTTCCTCCGCAGCTCACAGGAACCTCCTTGAAACGCTCTCTAAACTCCATCCAACCCATTTCGTCCTTCCATTATGAAAGTCACTAAGTTCCCCCTCCAGGCAACTGTTAAACCCTCTGGCTGGACTCCTTGGTAACATCTGAGCCAGCTGCAGCAGTAACAACCCCGAGGGGGGTCTAAGAGTGGCCCGGAAAACCACACCGACTCACGCCATGCGGTGGTTTGGGAGCTGGGTAAGGCGGAGTGTTCATGTGTCATGGGGAGGAGAGGAAGTTGTTGTGCTGCTGCGGGTAGGAGGTTTGGCAGCACTGGCCCCATCAACACAACTGGCGTGTCTGAAACATCTTTTGCAGATATTTTTTTGACAGGCATAAGGAGATGTGTCATTGCTTCCAGTTAGTCCATTGTGCAACACCAGGAAAAACAATTTACTTGGAGGCTCCACAAAACGTGCCACAGGGGATGGAGGGTCGGCGCCTCAGCTGCTGTACGTTGGCATAGATCCACTGAAGTCGACAGAGCGAGCATGTCTGTTTACGCCAAGGGAGGATCTGGCCCTTAGCAAATACTTTGGTGTTTATGTCCTTAGCTATAAATCATTCTGCTCAGACAGGCTGTCTGTCTGTGTGTCTTGCAGATGAGTGGGATCTTTCTCTCTCTCTCTCTCGTTCTGCAGCACCGAACATGTTAACAAAACAGATGGGCCTGATTTGGGGCCTCGCTCTTATCCCCAGGTTGACACTGGTGTAACCCCACTGACTGTAAGGGAGTTATGCCTGATTTACCCTCCTGTAAGTGAGAAGAGAATCAGAGCCCAAACCTGAAGTCCTTCCTCCCTCAGAATTCCCACGGGGTCAGATCCAGACCTGATGGAAGCAGATGCAGTGTCAGTGGGGTCACTAGAGTTAGTCCTTCTTAAATCAGGCTGGAACTCAGCTCCCTGACCTCAGTTACAAATGCTGAAGGGGTAAGTAAAGGTGTTTGTGTGCAAAACCTGTTCCAAACACGCCTTCAGGGGGACAAGAACCACATGGCCCCGGGGTTCTTCCTCCACAGGATGGGCAAAGGCATGTGGTAATCCAGACACTGGAGGCTGCAATAGCTTTTGATGATAAACTCTTTGGGGCAAGGGCTGTCTTCAGACACAGCTGTACAGCCCTTAGCGCAATGGGGCCCCGCTGAGCTCAGTTTATTCCAGTCCCCCATTTGTCCACATTACAAAGCAACCACACACCTCATCCTTGGCACAATTGTCAGTCCGGGCTGCACTCTGATGCTGTAGGGCCAGACTGAGCTGCAGAGGGGCTTGGGGGCTCTGAGCTGCAGAGGGGCTCTGGGGATTAGTAACAGGGAATGGATCCCTTCGCTGCCAGATCATTAGTTCAGCGCTGGCCCAGGTTGCAAGCGCTGAAAGTCATTTACCAGCTGAGGGCTGCTCAGTGGCTTGTGCGAAATGGGTCCAGTTCCTAGGGCACAACTGCCAAATGCAATTAACGCTAATTGGCAACCCCTTGGTGGCCCTCCCAGAAGAGAGGCTAGGGACTGAATGCACAATGGAGACTGAACTCTTTCTTCTCTCCTCACTCAAGAGGTAGGGAAGCTCTTGCTGCCAGGGCCCATGCTGTGCTTGCCCTATAGACAAATCCACAGAGGACTGTCATCTACAGGGCTATTGTCAGCCCAGCACTAAATGCACCTTTAAACAAAACCACACAAAGGATTGACCTACAGTGAAAGAGCTGCAATAGAACCCAGGACTGGAATAGCAGGGGGGCTGCAGGTGAGGACTGGGGGGCACTGGCAGAGCGGGGGGGGGGGAGCCCAGGACTGGAATAGCAGGGGGCTGCAGGTGAGGACTGGGGGGCACTGGCAGAGCTGGGGGGAGCTCAGGACTGGAATAGCAGGTGCTGGCTCAGCCCCAGGAGCTCAGTGGCTCTGAGGACAAGTGGCAGGTGGCAGTCACCAGAGACCTGTGTAAGCAGAGTCCCGTCGGGCTCGCCAGTGACCTGCTCCTGGCGCTGGGGCGCGCTGGGGTGCCGGGAGCTGGCGGGGGGGCAAGGCGGGAGGTGCCGGCTAGTGGCCGAGAAGCTGCGCCCGGCCCGTCACGCTCCTTACGGGAAGGAGACGTTCGAGCTTCCCAGGCGGGCCGGAGCGCAGAACTGCGGGGGTGTTCGCAGGGCAGAGCAAGGAGCAGGCTCGGCTGCGCTGGGGCGTGCGGTTCCCGCACCGCGCCCCCGATCCGCCCCACACACCCCAGCGGGAGCCCAGGGCTTGCCTCTGCGCCCGGCTCGCCGGCCCTCGCCCCGCAGCCCCAAGCGCCCCGCATCTCACCTCTTCTGATCCCCGGAGAGCGGCGGGAAGGGGCCGGAGAGCAGGGAAGCGAAGAGCAGCTCGGCTTCCAGCAGGCGCAGCATCGCCCTGGACTCCCTCCCCAGGGCAGCCCCTCACAGCCGGGCCATGCGGGACCCCGCAAGGGGCTGGCGGCTCTGGGACAGCTCGGCTTCTCCCGTTGCTCCCCCTGGCCGGGGACCCCTGCCTGGCAGCCCGGCGCCCAGTCCCTGCGCAGGGTGTCCACAGCTCCGCTCTCTCCTCGTCTATCTGCCCGTTTGACTCGGCCGCCCTGCAGCGAGGCTCCCTGGGCCGAAGACAGAGTTCAGTCCTCCTCGGATCCCTGCCTTCTCCTGCGCTCGCCGCTTCGCCCTCGCCTTTTGTGTCCTGGCCGAGAGCCCCCTCTCCTGGTGCCAAAGGCTGCGTCCCTCTCCACCAAGACCTGCCCAGCGTCCGCAGCTTCTTTCCCAGGCCCGCCAGCTCTCCCTGGAGCATCCGTCTGCCAGCCTAGCCCGGATCTTGTTTAATCTTCAGGAGCTCTCCAGAATCGTGCCTGGATCTTGCTACATCTTAATCCTCCCTCCGTGCGGGGATACCGGTGATGGACCTGCAGCCAAACAGGGAACTGCCCAGAGGTTATGGGCCCCAACAGGTAGAGTGACCAGATGTCCCGATTTTATAGGGACAGTCCCAATTTTGGGGGCTTTTTCTTATATAGGCTCCTATTAGCCCCCAGCCCTGTCCCGATTTTCACACTTGCCCTCTGGTCACCCTACCAAGGAGGCATGTACAGTTAAAATGGGCGCCAAAGCCATGTAGAGTGGGAGTAGAGACTAGCACTGAGGGAGGAATGGTAGCACATTTTCACCCCCTTTAGCGCCCCTTTCCAGAACAGTGTAAAGGGACCTTTGAGGAACTGAGAGCCAGACCCAGCAAGGCATTGGGCATGGCACTAGGGAGAGGAATGGGCTATGAGGGGCCTGATTCTCCTTTCCCACGGGTGTAAATCAGGCCAAACTCCCCTGGAGTTGGTGGAATTTCACCCCTGTCTGGGCACAGGGGGGAGGGCCCATGCAACTGAAGTGCATTATTGTCCTGGTGATTGATTTTGTCTCCAGTCAGGACAAATACAAAACTCCCACGTTAAGCTCGGAGCACCTTGCCGATCATTTGAAACTAGGAGACCAGAATGGCAAACATCAGCTCACTCCTTCCACCAGCCAGGGGCATCCAATCAAACACCAACACCTCCATGGCCTAGCCTTGGTCCCCTGCCTCTCTGCAAAGGCCAGCTGAATCAAATGGGCCCTGCCCTTGACCAGTCTTTTGGACTAGGGATGGGAGGGAATTCCAGAGCCCCTGGGGCCCTCATGGAGAATGCCCTGCCAGCTGCCAGCTCGCTGTCACCTCTAAGCATCAGTCTCCTAAGAGAAGTGGGAGAAGTTTCCTCTCTGGAGGAATTTAAAATAGGTCTGAACAAAACATTGAGAACAATCCTGTGCTGGCAGGGAGATCAACTGAAGGACCTTCTGTCCATGGGCCAGATTGACAGCATGTGCAACTCAGCCTCGCTGCATAAACTTCAATGGTGTGGTGCCAATTTACACCAATTGAGGATCTGACCCCTGAGCTTTTATGGGCCAGATTCTGATGTCAGTTACACCAGTATATCAGAAGCTGGCCCTAGTCTCTCCCCTTCCAGAGGCTGATTGTGATATATGCGGAGTTTACACCTGAAACTATTTCAAGGTCATAACCAAACCTTACAAACAGAGGCAGTGCTTGTTGACCTGTGCTGCTGGCTTTGGCATAGTTGTTTTGAGTTCATGAACCCTTCCCCTGTAATTTAAACCCAGGGATCTTTAAAGCATGATTCAATTTAAAAACCCAACCAACTTGTTTTGCTAGCTAAGGAGTAACCTGTGCTATCTATTCAGGACACATTCTGCCACCCAATGCATAGGAGCGATGCCTGCCACAGAGGTACTGCACTGATTGAGTAATTGGTATTTTTCTCTTGCCCTTTTCTGCACACACACCCCCACCCCGCCCCGCCCCAGCCTTCCCCATATTTGCGTCTCACTCTGCCCATTCTCTGCTCTGTTTTTTCCTCCCTTCTCCTTTTCTCATTGTCTAGCTTAAGTAGGATGTGAGCCTGATAAAGTTTGTGATCAAACCGAACCTACATGCCCACAGTATCTGCTTGGCTTTGAAATTAGGCAAAAGGATCTCCCTAGTCACAAGCAAGTTCATTCATCCTCAAGGATTTTGATATCCCTCCACCAAAGGAACACCAGAGGATACTGTAGCCCAGGGGTAGGCAACCTATGGCACGTGTGCCGAAGGCGGCACGCGAGCTGATTTTCAGTGGCACTCACATTGCCTGGGTCCTGGTCACTGGTCCGCGGGGCTCTGCATTTTAATTTAATTTTAAATGAAGCTTCTTAAACATTTTGAAACCTTATTTACTTTACATACAACAATAGTTTAGTTCTATATTATAGACTCATAGAAAGAGACCTTCTAAAAAGGTTAAAATGTATTACTGGCACGCGAAACCTTAAATTAAAATGAATAAATGAAGATTCGGCACACCACTTCTGAAAGGTTGCCGACCCCTGCTGTAGCCTGAGACAAATGAAACTCATCTCACCAGTGAGAAATCTAAACCAGGAGCCTCGCCCGCTGTCCCAGATTAGAGAAATTTGGACATGGGATAAATGCCAGTAAGAGATGATTATGAATCAGTGGTTCTTAACTGTTTCTATACCATGCACTCAGGTGACATCAGAAAAGAGTTACAAGACTTCCCTTCCATAAAATTCCTTATCCCATCCCTTCCAGCCATAAAGAATGGGAGGAAGTCATGCCGCCCAATATGTCTTTGTGACCCCATGCAGTCACAGCCCCCAAGACTGAGATAGATAAGACAGGTAACCAGGAGTCTGGGGACCTTGTGTCCATGCTGAGGGAAAGTGCTGTTTGTGAAATCAAAACCCTGCTCCAGCTGCAGTCAATGGCTGTCAGTCAAAGCAGGATTGGGTGCCCAGGAATCTTGGAGTCAACGCAGGTCTTAAAAAACAAACCTCAAAACTTGTGCCTCGTTCATATGTCAGACAGGGGCATGTGGGGCATGAAGGAGGGTGGGGGGAGCAGATGGCAGAGCTGTGTGGGGTTTTTTTCAGTTGCAGCACTGGATGCAGCAGAGGTGGCAGGAATGCCAAAAGTTGTCTGGGGCCAAATCCTCAGCTGGAGTAAACTGGTGTAGTAGCTCCATCAAAACCCTCCATATCTGTGGGCTAAGGCTGGGTCTCGGCAGCTCTAGGCAGCTCTGAGATAGGCATGTGAAATTTAAACCAGGGCAGGGACTGGGAGAGCAGCTTCACAAAGCCAGGAGAAGCGTGGGTGGGAGCCTCTCGCTGCCCTCCCGCTGGGTTCTCCTGAAGATCAATGGCCCTGTTTTCTCAAACTCTGCTTCCGCTGAGTCAATGGTGAAACCTCCAGAGACAGTTGGCAGAGTTCGGCCAGTGCTAAGCCCCTTTGAAAATCCCACCCTCTTCACGGGGAAAATAGGGCCTTTCTGGATTTGGAACCAAAATTGCAGGGACAGATTTGGATCCTGGCATCTGAATCCTGCATCCCTGAAATTTGAAGAGGGCTGGAATTTGAGGTTCTGGTTTTACCAACCACAGTTCTAAAAGAAAGAGAGAGGACAACTGCCCTCCAACTCCTGGGATCCCTGCGTTCCACTTCCTAGCTCAAACCTCTGCAGACTGCAGCAGAATTCTCCTGCTTATGTTTCCCTCCCACACTCGAACCATGGCTTTCTGGAGAGTGTTCCCTACCAGAGAGCGATCAGTCTGGCCTGGCACAGCAGGTTGGCTGTCACACATAGCCACTGTCCCCTCTTTCTGGAATGTGGTGCAGCCTTGGAGGCAGGATACCAGAGCAGAGATGCAATTCTCAACTTAACTTCAGGTGGCACTGCTGTCCCATTTCCTTCTGAGGAAGAGCTGATTTCTAAGCACCCCTGGGCTATACAGAGGTCTTTATCAATCATGTAATGACCAGCTAGAGATGCTGCAGAGACACCCTGGAAAGCCCAGACTTTAGCTGGTCAGGTGATGGCTGGTGCATGTGGGTGAATGAGTTCTTAAGCCTAAAATGATCCAGATGGTTCTTTTCATTGTACATTGTTGACAGAGCTGAGTAGTGCAGAGATGGGGTAGGATGCAGGGGTGGAGTTTAAAGGATTTGATTTCTGATTGCTGGTCCCCCAGTTCTCAGAACAACGGACATCCTGCGAGTATTGTTACTGAGCCTGCAAAAAAATGCTTCTAGGCCTCATGAGCTGCAAAATATTCATGTTTGCAGCATAGTTCTTGGCCAGTTCCTTTTCAGGATTCCTGCTTCTTTTTAAACCTATAACTGCCATTGGGGAATTCCCCCTCAGTGCAGGGGGTTTCTCAAGTCAGCATACAGACAATCTAAGGGTTCTATGCTGTTTTCCGGTGTAGGGGCATGATGAGGTTCTGCCCAAGGGAAGGAAGGAGGGTGGATCTTGCTCGGGCAGGGTGTGGGCATGCAGGGCTTAAAGTTTCAGCTATCCTGGGCAGGTGAAATAATTCATAAAGGGTGAGTCAAAGTTAGTGTAAGTTAGAGCAGCCACTGGGCACCTCGACACCTTGTAATCTCATCTGCAAACACACATTCAGCTATCATATCCATGCTGACAACTCCCAGATTTACCTCTCTACTCCAGACCTGCCTCCTTCGGTCCCAACTAAAATCTCAGCCTGTCTCTCTGACTTCTCATGTAGGTTGAGCCATTAGCTTAGCTCAAACACAACCAAAACAGAGCTCCGAATCTTTCCTCCTAACTTCTCCCCTCTCCCTCCTTTCTCGATCATTAATGTAGACAACATCACCACCCTGCCTGCCACTTACCTCCGTAAACTGGGTCTCATCTTCGACTCAGCCCTCTCTCTCGATCCTCACAACCAGGAGGTGCCTGCATCTTGTTGATTTCTTCTGCATAGCATATCTAAGATACGGCCTTGTGGCCTTTCCACCCAAAAAGCTAAAACTCCTGTCCAGGCACTTATCATCTCATGTCTCAGTTCCTGAAACATCCTGTTCTCTGGCCTTGACAAAAGCAGTCAGAATGCTGCTGCAAGGATCATTTTCCTAGCTCGCCACTTTGATCATGTCACACCTCTCTTGGCATCCCTCCCCCAGCTCCTCTTT